AACAAAATAAGTATTTAATTTAGTTCAATCCACTAATACAAGTAGATGTTTATGTTTAGAGAATCATTTAGTCATTATTTTGTCATTTTTGTAAATATTTGTTTATTATTCATTGTTCTATAGATTTAATAAAGCTTACGAGCAACCCATGGTTATCTTCTATTTTTAAGTCAATAAAAAACAAAATAAAATAACCGAAAAAAGAATGAAAACCGAAAGAGAAATGGACGACGAAAGAAGGTAAGAGATTTTATTACCTAAATGTCCTTGTTCATCAGCAAGGTTTTCTTGCTCCATTTTCATAATAATATTATCATGTGTTTCATTTGTTCGTAATGTTAAATCTTTTTCATACGGATATACACGTATAGGCGGTTGACTTTTAAATAAATTTTGATTAAAACCTAAATTTAAAGTATAAACATCAAGTCATCGTATGTGATTAGCTGCTGAATGAACGGACGACTTCATTCAGAGTATCTGATACTACATTTGCTGTCTATTTTTCGATAATGTGTTAGGCAAATGTTATATTTGTGTAAAAGCTGACAATGAATTCGAAAATGCCATCACATTTACCTGACTGTTGTCTTCTTCTTAAACGTGTATATTGTGTATTATTACTAAAACGATATAAAGAACCACGTGTGTAACAGAGACCACATCCATATTCAGCCATAAATTGTTTAATGTTTTCCATTTTTGCTTGTGCAGGTTTATCATTACATGAAAATATTGTATACACATGTAATGGTAATGTTCGATCTAATTCAGGTATATAAAATTCATAACCTTGTTCAAGATAAATTAGTTCATCAACTATTAACTTAATTGATGCTTGTAATTGTGAAGTTGTAGGTAATATAGATGTTGACCAAACAACTGGTATAATGATATTTTTTAATAAAAAACGTTCAGATATGGGTAACTCGTTAATAACTAGCATAATAGGCCAAACACCAACCCCTAAATAAATAAATAAAGTTGTTTTTCCCGTGGAGTATGGAAGTTCTTGGCAGAAAAATTCCTCCAATTTCAATGCATTGTTAGTATGCATCTTTTGCTAAAAATTGACTTATGAAAGTGAACCTATGTAACAAAAATTTTAGAGATGGAGAAGAGAAGAATCATTGACCGGCAGAGTGTAAACTACTCTTTAACACATGTTGTCTATTTTTTCTCTTTCGCACAAAAATTTTTTTAATTGATTTTGCGCTAAACTTTTCGCCAATCACTCAGTCATATTGTGGAGCTAGTGCATAGAGAGTTTGGTTAAAATAAACACAGACAGCAGCGACTCATCACCTGAATTTTGCACAGGAAATGATCATTACGGTCTAAGTACATTTCCTGTTGAAAATCGTCGTCAGTTCTGAGGAGTGTCTGCCGTTAAAACAAGTTCCTCTATTAAGAACAATTACACGTATGGTTTGTACAGTCTTCTATTCTGACGAGCTTACTCAGTTTTGTTTTTATGTTAACACTCTGGACTTTAAAAGAATCGTATATCGTATACATAAACACACAATTGTCACAAACCTTTTAAAATTTCTATACCATCTGAATTAATCAATAATGTAGCTGATGATTTAGGACAATCATGAATAATTTCTTCATAATTTGTATGTGGTTCATTAAGTTTTATTTGTTTTATGGTTTCTATTATTTTTGTATAAGTTCCATGATTGGATAATATATTTTGCATTTGCTGTGTTATAGATGAATATGAAAATTGTTTTGTTAATTCAATACCACATGAACATATGATTGTTTTTGTACATATTTCACATTGTGTACAATAATAATAAGTTTCATAAATTGATGATGATATGTCAACTGAAAGGTTATATCTATGACAAAGAATAGAAAGAGATGACATGCATGCATTACCAATAGCACATACGAATACAAAAAGCATACGCACTTCATAAGAACTTATGTTTCGCAACTAATGTAATGTAACGAAAAGTTAATGTATCTTCATATTTATTTCTCTTGGAATAAATAGTTTTTCGATAGAATTTTATTTTTGCCGAAACCACTTTTATTTAATTCCTCATGAGAAATTTGACATAACTATACACTTTTAAATAATGTCTTGCACTATATGACAGATTTTAACCATTTATTCATATCTATAATTAAAATTACGTTGGGATCGAATAAAACTAGTTTTAGACAAATAAATTCAGTCGGAAAGGGATCGTTGTTCTAACTTTTTCATAGTGAATTTTTCCTCTTTGAACATAT